AGGTTGAGCTGTGCCCTTGGTACCAGGTTGTATTTCAGCCCTGATGGAGCAGGTTGAGCTGTGCCCTTGGTACCAGGCTGTATTTCAGCCCTGATGGAGCAGGTTGAGCTGTGCCCTTGGTACCAGGCTGTGTTTCAGCCCTGATGGAGCAGGTTGAGCTGTGCCCTCAGTGCCAGGCTGTGTTTCAGCCCTGATGGAGCAGGCTGAGCTGGGCCCTCTGTGTGCCAGGCTGTGTTTCAGACCCAACAGAGCACATTGAGCCCTGCATGAGGTTGGACTGCCCCAGGGGAAGAACCAGGCATAGGGGCTGAGGGAGCCAGGGCAGGACACCTGGCTCTCAGCCCATTCTCTGTGTGGTCTCAGAGAAGTCAACGACCTCAGGTTTGCTCACCTGGAGAGGGGGTGTAACAAGCCCTCCCTGCTATGAAGGGTGTGCCAGCTTTCATTAAGGGCTCAGGCACAGTCCCAAGATTGCTTGATACAGGACGAAGCCAGATGAGATCACACTCTGCATCAATCTTCCCAGGCAGGGCTGGGCTCGTGGCAGCGTGTTTGGGCCAGGAGAGGCTGCTGGAGCCAACCTGAGCCGCCCACAGCCCCTGCTGACACCGCCAGCGCGGCACAGGGCGGCTCTGCGATCAAGTGGGTTGTAAATGAGATGCAGACCGTGGTCTGGAGCTAAATTTTACCCTGGCACAGTGAGGCAAGAGGCAGCAAGTCCCTGCAGGCCCCTACAGCAAGGGCTGAGTGGCACAGGATGCTTTTGTGGAAGCTGGATCAGCCCAGGAGCTGCTCTCACCCCCTATGGACCTTTTGGGGAGTCCCAGGCCTGGGGATTCCCTTCAGGGCTGTATTTGGGATGACCAGGCACAGGCAGCAGCACCATTTACCCTGAAAACTTTTGGGGTACAGCCTTGCCAGCTTACTGGACACAACCCCATGAGCCAGAGCACCTCGATGGAGATGAAGGCAAAGTGTTTTCCCAAGGGCTTCCTCAATGATCTCAAGATCATCCCAATGGCCAAGTGCTCAGGGTTTGAGGCTTTCTGTTGGCAGGTCCCTGTGTCTGTGTGAACAACCTTGGAAGAGCCTCTCTGTGCCATGGGGAGGGAAGGACTGGGCAGGTTGTGGGGTGACCAGGCCCACAGGAAGCACTTGTGGAGGAGGATGAGACAGCAACGCACAGCAATGGCACCTACAGCCACTGTGCTCCTCCCTGACACCCCAATTAGCACACGTCTGCCCGGGGAATGAGGGGGATGAGGAGGAAAATTGCTCTGAATCACTCTGGGCCAGTCCCTTCTGCCATCAAATCCCTCCGAGCCCGCTGCCACCACGGTGCCATCCCACGGCGGCACGGCCCGTCCACAGCAGCGTCAGGATGGCTTTGCTGGGCTCTGGGCACAGGTTTGTCCCTGCTGGTGGCTCAGGTCCTGGCCCCATGCCTCACCAGCCCCCCAGGACCAACCAGTTTGACCCCACTGTGGCTCATCCCTATCTGTGTCCAGACTGATACCGAACGTGTCGTGCACGGCACGTCCAAGTCCCCAATTGCCACAGTTCTGGGCATTGCACAACCCTTCCCTTGTCAGCCACTGGGGAGGGACCTGGGGGGTCTGCAGCAGGTGGGGATGGGTGGGGAGACCCAGCTCAGCCTCAGCTGGATCTTGTCTGCTCGTTGCAGAGTCACTCATAAAACCCTTCAGCCTCCAATCTTGGGAGAGCTCTGGGAGGGGATCAGCACTGTGAGGAGCTGGGAGGGCCATTACAAGCTCAGGGCTATTTTTGGGGGGAGAGAGGACAGGATGGCAGTGGGGAGAGATGTGTTCCCTCAGCTGAGACCTCTGGGTGTGAACTGATGTCTCTGCACCTCACCAGGACACAGCTCAGGGAGAGGAGTGTGGGGAACAACTCCCCCCAAACAGGGCAAGAAGAAGGTTTTAGCATTTATGTGCCATTTGGCTGCTGCTTTGAGCTGTGTCCTGGAGGAACTGCAGAAACAGAGCTGATGCTGGGGAGGAATCAGCGTGGTGGGCTGAGCAGGGGAGAGGATGAGAGAGGAGTTTGGGATGCTGGAGAACGTGTGTGTGTCCTCAGCCCGAAAATTCAGGGTTGGATTCCGACGAGTAAATCCAAATAACCCTGTTTGGGTGGTGGTGCAGGAACAGGGGGAGCAGGATGGGGCTCACAGCATCCCTGGGGAGCGAGGCAGGACCTGATGTCCTCTGCGACACTCAGTGCCACGTCCCACCAGGTGGCAGCAGGAGCTCAGCCCTTGGCTGAATCCTGCGGGAGCTGCTTGCACTGAAAGGTTCCCTATGGATTTAGGCACCACTCGGGGGGTGAGGGCTCGTTCTCCCCCCTCCCCAGCCCAGCAGCCCCGCGGGTGACCCAAGGGGAGTCCTCACTGCAGGTTTCAGGGGAGCAGAAGGTTCTGCTGTGTTGGCAAATATCCTGTTGCAGCAACACCGTGAGCTTCGAGGCTGGTTCCTGCCTCCATCCTGGGGTGGAGGTTTGTGCAGGGGGCAGAAGGGCTGAACACCCACCATCTCCCCCCAAAAAAGCTGATCTGCTGCAAATGGGATCCAAACATCCTTGTCCCAAAAGCTGAAGTGTCCTTAGGAGCCAGCCCTGGGCACAACCTGGTTCTTGGAGGTGTTTCACACTTGGCAGGGTGTGGGCAAAGAACCAGCACCACTATCCCTTGGGTATTGGGGTTCTTCGTGCTCCAGAGACCCTAAAATTCTGCAGGATGGGGAGCATGACCCGTTTTGGGGTGAAGGATTGAGTGTTGGGTGCAGGATCTGTCTCCAAAGAGCTTCCACCTTGCAGAACTAAAGAGACCTCTGGTCCTGCAGCAGATTTTACCTTGTTAAGAAGGTGTTTGGCACTTCAGATGTCAAAACTGACCCCAGAGGAAGCTGAAGCAACCTGGACAGCGGCAGTGAAGCAAACTTGTGGTGGTCTTGTGCTAACTGGGGGCCTTGCCTCAGCACTACTGGTTTGGGGAAGCTTCTGGAAGGTTCCTGCACGGAGCAGGATGATTTCAGGGCTTTGACTCACCCTTGGGAAATCACAACTGTTCCTTTTTCTCCCCCAAAAGACATTTGGAGATCAGTAGCCAGGCTCTGAGCGTGCATGGGAGCATTGCCAGCCCACCCTGGTTAACAGCAGATGAACCTCCTTGGTGCATTTTGGGGTGCTCTGAGTGAGGAGTTGAGGTTCTTCTTGGTTCTTGTCCACACAACACCCTGTGGACAGATCTCTCTGCTGCTGCAGCCCCAAAACTTAACACATCCACCCTCACATGGAGCAAAAGTGCCCTAAAAAATGTTGTTCCTCCAGAAAAGTGTGTTCATCCATCCCCATCCTTCCTCCCAGCTCCTGCCTAACACCTCAGCTCGGTCCTAGGAGAACTGCAGAGTGATTTCACACAAACCCAGGACTTTTTCCTAGTTGGAAATGTCAAATTCTAGTGTTTTCCATGACCTCTGGAGCAGCTTATAGTGCAAGGAGCACCATGAGCACCTGCTGCAGTGAATCCCAAGCTCCCCAGGCATCCACCTCACCTCTGGAACCTGCAGCCTGTCTCCAGGGTGGATTTGCCTGGTTTGAGGACAGAGCAAAGCACAGAGAAAACCCACAGAAACACAGAAAAGAGCTTTGGCAGCCTCAGGGTAAATCTTTATTTGGCAGCAAAACCATCAGGTTTGAAGGAAGGGAAGGAGGGAGGTGGGCAGAGAGGGATGGTTGAAGGTTGGATGGGATCTTGGAGCCTTTTTCAAGCTAAAAGCTTCCACGGAGGGGAGAAAGCCAAGGCTGCAGCACTGCACAGGTGCTGTGGAGCACAGCCCAGCTCAGTGGTGGTGCTGGTGCTGGTGCTGGTGCTGGTGCTGGTGCTGGTGGTCCTCGACGTCGTGGAGGTGCTCGTGGGTGGCGATGGTGACACGAGTGATCAGCAGCATCACCTCGCTGAAGCTGATCTGGTGGTCCCTGTTGGTGTCGAGGTCCCTCATGATCTCATCGATGGTGGTCTTGTTTCTCACATGCTGCAAAGGAGGAGAGGACAGGCTGAGGGCAAAGTCCTGCTGATCACAGCTCAACCCTCTCCTTGATGTGTTGGATTAATGGAACTTTCCCTTGGCTTTAGCAAAGTGAGTTACCAAAAAAATTGAGCTTCTGGGCTGATATGTCTGATGATGTTTCTAGATGGCAAAGGAGCTCTTGGGCAATAGGATCCTGATTTTTGCAGAGAAGAGGATCATAGAATCAACAAGGTTGGAGGAGACCTCTAAGATCATCAAGTCCAACCATTATCCTGGCACTGCTTTAACCCCTAACCCCTAAACCATATCCTCTGGCACCAGATCCAGATGCCTCTTAAACACTTCCAGAGTTGATGAGGGTAAAAACCCAACTGCAAGTTCACCCTGAGCTGTGTGGGCTTCCTTCATCTGTCTTTATGGAGCAGGTTTGGAAAGGGGTAGTAGGGCAGGGAAGGTTGGGCAGGAAAGCAGAGTGGGAAGGAGGTGAATCCTGACCCTGGAGTTCTCCATGCAGTGGAGCCCAGCCCAGCTCCCTCCCCATATGGAGCACAAGGAACTCTGCTCTGAGTCCACTCACCTTCAGGTAGTTTGCAAGCTGTTTATCAATCAGGAGCTTCAGCTCCTTCTTGGTCAGGGTGTCTCTGTCCCCCTCCCGTCTCGAGTACTGGTGGAAGACATCAATGATGACATCCATGGATTTCTCCAGCTCGGAGAGCTGTCCCTGGCTCTGGGCAGTCTGCAAGAGAAATGATTACACGAAATAACATTCAAAGCCACCACAGATAGGGAAACCTGGTGTAGCCAAGGTGGTTCTGACACAACCACCTGCCTCACACAGGATGAGGACATGGCCTGGTGCTGTTCAGTCATCCTTTCTGGGGGATAAAGCTGAGTTTTCTCTGTGTACAAGTCAAGGAGACTGAAGAGAGTTGCAACTTTTTTCCTCTGCTCTGCGATGTGCACCTACAGATAACATCCAAGAGCTCATTGTCCTCCAAAATGTGCCTTCTCTAAGCCTGTTACTGCACCAGCAACACTCCCAAAACAGCTGATACCACCCCAAAAACCTCTGTGGAGATACAGAGTACAAGATCTGAAGCCCAGGAGCCCCTTTGGTGGTCAGACTCTTCCACGAGAAGACATCTCTCCTTGTGAGTTGAGCTCTAATGGAGATGATTATCCTCTTCCAGCAACCAACAGCAGCTCAGGGCAGGGAGAGCTTCCCTGGGGCTCTTTGCTCCTCCAATGAACCAACCAGCACCTGGAAAAGAGCATAGAGACCTCAAACACCCACAGCACCATTGGACTTGCCTTGCTCATCTTGACAGCACAGCGAGATCCCTCGGGCGGGCGCGGGGCCGGTCCAGGACACGGCGACTCTTATAGCCAGCGCCGGTTGTGAAACGTCCTCGTTTCAGCCAGCTCCAGGCCACGGTCGTGACATACTTGGGCATTGCTTAAGGCTCCAAGGTAGTTCCTTAAAAGGGTCTCTGTGGCTTTTCCTGCAAGGTCAGAGTGTCACGTACTCCTGGCGGATGGCAGGAGGTGACCAAGGCATGGCCATGTCTGTGCAGGTGGTGTCCTCCACCATTCCCTTGGGATTCTCCCATGTCACCTGTTTCCTCCCCTCCCTGGGGGTGTCCTCTGATGCCACAGGGTGAAGAGCACCCACAGCATCATCCCTGCTCTTCTCCAGTGAACCAACACTGCTTGGCCCTGTGGTGTCCCCATCCTTGCACACTTGGTGCACCCAGAATGTCCCACTGCTTCAGAGAGTCATTTAGGTGGGAAAAGACCTCCAAGATGACCACGTCCAACCTTTGGCTGACCATCACCTTGGCAACTAGAGCAGAGCATTGAGTGCCACGCAGCGCAGTGTTGGCAGCAAGGCCATGGCTGCCCACGGGACACGGGGACAGAGCTGGCACTGAGGGACCAGCCCCTGCCTGCAGCCACCAGCTCTTCACTGAAGACACGTAATCCAGGGTGTGTTCCCAGCCTGGCAGTGCTCCAGGAGCTGCATTTCAACTCTTGAGCTCTGCACCTGTCCGTGCCAAGGGTGGATTCTCCCCACCCCAGGTGTGCTCTGAGCTGCAGAGACCAGGTGTGGCTTTTTCTTTTTTTTATTTTTTTTTACTTTCTGGTACCTTGTCCTCCCTTTGTGGCTTTTGTTGCTGTTGTTCCTCAGTGTGGCACAGGCCCAGCACAGGCACTTTGGCTCAGAGCTGCCAAGTTCGGGAGCAAAACGAGATTTTCCAGTGTTTCTTCCTGGAAATGTGCTGCCTGATGACTCAGCAAACTCATTTTGGAGTTTGTTTAACCTGCCAAGCATTGTGTTGATGTCAGACACAAAGTGGAGGCCAAGACAGGGCCATGGACAGACCTGGGGTGAGTTCCAGGAGCTCCAGGGGAGTTGACATGGGGCAGCACCATGCTCAGAGCTGCAGCCCTGGTTTACACCTGGTTCTTCAGGAAGAACTTCCTCAGGGAAAGGGTTGTCAGGCATTGGAAGGGACTGTCCAGGGAGGTGTTGGATTGAGTCACTACCCCTGCAGGTGTTCAAGGAACAACTGGACAGTTCTCTGCTCTAGTTGACAAGGTGGAGATCAATCACAGGTTGGACTTGATGATCTTGGAGGTCTTTTCCAGCCTCAATCATCCTGTGAAGGATCCTGTGACACACACAGTGCCCCCTCAGGGTCCAGCCCTCACTTTGGGGGGGTGCACTGTGTTTCACAACAGGAGAGCTGTGATGCACACACAGCTGGAGAAGAGCTGGGACATTTCACAACAGCCTGTCAGGGACCATCCGCAGCATTGCAGAACTTTCTAGCCCTTTCAGGAAACTCTACATTTGGTCATTTTTCATCCTGGAGGTGTGGAAGAGCAAGAGTGGGTTACAGGATGTGGAATGGGCCAGGTCTTCCCAAGGAGGGATGGTGGCAGTAGGGATGAGCCTCAGGTGTTTGGTTGTGAAAGGCCAAGGCAGAGACCAAGGCGAGCAGCGAGCGTGGGTGTTGCTGAGGGTCACAGCAGCATGTGGTGGCACAACTTTTTGCTGGCTCTGCATGTCCCCTCGCATGGGAACCTCCCTGTCCAGCCATGCCACAAGCTGCAAGTCTGCTCCCAAGGCCATGAGGTTGGGCAAGAAGGCATCAGGCACCGCACGAGCAGCCCAGGACCTGCTTTGTGATGACCAGGGCTGGCTGTGCCCCGAGGACCTGAGTCCTGGCAGAGGACTCTGTGCTTGGCAGTGGTTGCAAAACTCTTTCAAAACACATGTTTAAGAACAAGTGGCTGATGAGGGCACTGCAGGGCCTGTCACTCCGTGGTTGTCCCACAGCTCCATCAGACCACGCGCTCACCTCAGCTGTGCCCTCCCTCCCCACCCCGGAGAGGGATGCGAAAGGAATTGCTGAGCTAGGAAGAACTGGGTGAATTTCAAGTGATGCTTTATTGTCTCACAAGCAGAGTGTTCCCAGCAGCCAGAGCCCAATTCCTAGAAGCAGCTCTCTCCCAGTGTTTCATGGGTCAAGACTCAATCCTTGTCAGGCCCACAGCGATCCTCCCGGTGCATGATGCGATGGGCATCATCAACCACCTTGGACAGCACGGTGGTAAACTCCTCGAAGGTCAGCTCACTGTCCTTGTTGATGTCAGTCTCCTTGAAGAGCTTGTCCAAGTAGCCTCCTCGGTTCCTTTCCTGAAATTGGGGGACAGGAGGTGTCTTCGTGTGTTCCCTCCCTGAGCTCCATACCCACCCATAGACACGGAGCCAGAGGTATCCTTCCATGCCATGGGAAGTGTTTGGAAGCTGCAGGATGTTGTGACCCTCTCCCCCCCTGCATTCAGCCCCCAGTTTAACCCCAGGTGGACAGAGTCTAGTCCCGAGCTCTCCTGGCTACTCCGTCCCCCCATGGAAGGAGGAAAGAGCCCCATGGGATTGATCAAAGAAACCTTCTCTGAGGACCAAAACCATGGTGGGGACTGTACCTCATTCCCCCAGAGGCAACCTCAGCCTCATCCCCCCTTGCCCCCCGAGGACACCAACCCTCCAAGGAGCACCATGAGCTCCCCTGGCACTCACACAAGCCTGCAGGAAGGTTGGTGTCTGCTCAGTCAGAAGTCTCTTGAATTCATTGTTGTTGAGGAAGTCACGTGGGCCCTGGCGGGTGCTGTATTGTTGTGATAGATTCCCACAATGGTTTGCAAGGCATTCTCCATGTTGGAGTCTCCAGGGAAGACCTGAGTCTCAGGATGAGCTGTTGTTGCAGACATGGCTGAGTTCTGGAGGTACCTGCAGAAACTGGGGAGAAACCTCAAAGCCATGAGATGTGCCGAAAACCAGGAACTCCGAGGAGGGTGAGAGACACCTCCCCAGCCCAACAGCAGATCTGCACCAGGAGCCTCATCCCACTGGGGCTGAGCCCATCACACCTGGTGACCTTCCTATCCACAAATCTCCCTCTCTTCAGGCTGCAAACCCTTTCAGTGCTGACACTGAGCCCAGAGACCCTTCCCAGCTGGGTGACACCCCAAAGGGCTCTGTCTTTGCCAGTGGTGAGATAACTGCACCTCCACCAGAGAGGGCACCAAAATGCCATTCGTTTCTGCTTGTTTTGTAGCCAAAATCATCCTCCAAGCCTACCCTGAGCAGAACTCATCACCCTGGACTAAGGCATGGCATGAAATGCCATAGCCAAAACTGCTTCTCCCTCATCACCTTCCCTGCAGGACCATGGCAGTGCTACTCACCTCGGTGTCCAAGGAAGGTTTGCAGAGGACGTGTCCGTCGGTGTGATCCGAGAGCCTGAGCAGCTCTTTTTATACAGGTCTGAGTCCTCTTTCATCAGAGCCAGTGACACACCTGCCACAAGCATCAGCTTGAGTTAAGATTTCCCGGACCTGGAAATTGCATGGTGGGACCTTCTGACCCCTCCCCGTCTCATACCTGCACACAGTTCCTGGTTGCACCCACCGGGTGTTGGAAATATTGTCCTTCCCCAATTCCATCACCCCTGACAGGGCTGAGCTGTAATGTGATGCTGGAAGGGAAAAACACTGGATGCACTGTCACACAAAGACATCTTGGCAGAAGTTGCCAAAACTTTGCAAGTTTTGCAATGTGCTGAAATGGTTTGAGTTCTCATGGTGGTGTAGAGGAACTTTGGACTGTTACACAGGAATGGGGGTAACTTTATCTCTCAGTTGTGTTTTCCATGGGATCTCTGATTTCTCCAATCCCAACTGGGTGGACACTACCCAAGATGAAAGCAACGTCCACCTCTTCAAATTGGTTTTCCAGATTATTTTTCATGACTTTCAGGTTCCACATCACTCATACCAGACCTTCCCTCTTGCTGCAGAATTTTCCTGAAGGAAACTGGGAATAAACCAGAAGCAAACCTGAGCTTAGGGTCTTAACTGGCATGAACTCCCAAGTGTTTTGCAACTGTCACCTCTGTGTCACCTCTCTTGCGTTAGGGATGAGAAGAATGGAGACACTATAAGAAGATTTAAAACCAGACAATAGATACCAGGAAGAAAGGAGGGATGGAAAAACAAAAGGGTCACCATTCCTGTTTGCAGATGCTGCTTGCATGTCCTGGGGGCAGTGGTAAGAACAGTTGCATGAGTTTTATTCCGGCATCCCTGACTCATTTTATTGCCTTTGTGTTCTGGCTCTACTCATTAGGGACTGACAGTAATCCCAAATTATATCCTCATTCCCCAGCTGGCAGGGACTGCTTTCTGCTCTTGTGTAGCCCCCACACATGACCTCTGGGCCCTAAATTCCCAACTGTGCTCCCCAAAACCCTCAGGGGAGGCAGCACACCACGTCCTGCCCTGCGAGGGGAGCGATGCCGAGTGACACCGAGTGACACCTGAGTGCCCTGGTAGGACAGTGAGTGACACCTGTCCCCAGGGGACAAGGGCTGCTCCCCAGTGTCAGCTGTGGGCTCAGAAAGCAATGACCTGTGTCACTGAGAGCAAATCACCACACAATAGCCCTGTGGTTGGGTTTCATGTGGCTTCTGGTTTCGGCCTCCCGAGCCGGAGGGTTTCCCACTCAGTGCACAGTCACCAACAGAACCAGGAGCTCTTTTCCACTTGTTTCCACTCCCCAGGAGCCCATGGTGACTTGTACATGTGTTCTGACCTGAGGGAGCTGTCACCCCAGGCTAACAAAAACATCCAACTCCACTTTGCGGAGTGGACACTTGTGTAGACCTCCGAGCAGCTCCCTGCATAGTCCTGCCCCATGTCAGCTCCTCTGCTGCTCTCTGGAGCACCTCAGCCTCATTTTTTGCTGTGCTGGGGCTGGTTGGTTGCTTTGTGGCTTGCAAAAGCATCTCACAGAGCCCTGCGTGGATGTGGCAGCCCCAGCTCCAGGGTTGGGTCTCAGCAGAGATCTGGGGAAGGAGCTCCCAGCTCTGCTTCACCCCTGGAGGTGCTGGAGATGGTACAAAGAGGAATTGGGAGAAGCAGGGCTGGGGATGCTCCAGCTGACCCTACCCAAGAGCCTCCCCAGTGTTCCAGGGTGTTATGCACCCACTGCCTGCTGAGGTGAAGGGTCCTGGGGCCAAGCACCCTGCAGTGACCATGCAGGGGCTTTCCATGGGCTGGGACACTCCTGCAGAGTTTGGGGGTCTTTGTGGAAATGACGGAAGAGGGACTTTTCCAGTTCACAGCCTGGTGAGGGTCTCCAGTGGGAGGACACTGGTTTTACCCCGTGGGGGTTGTAATTCATCACGGATGGATTTGCAGAAGATCCCATGGAAGAGAACAACCCACCAAGCCTCAGGAAGGCAGTGGGAGCACACTAGGGTCTGACATGCTTCAGGAGGCCACACAGCCTGTGCTGCTCAGAGGACACCCCACAGCACTGCTGTCCTCACCCCCCACTCTGCCCAGACCAGGGTTCCCCTCATGGCACCTTCCCATTGCTTCTCCACTTCAGCAAGTGTTTAACCCCCCAGCAGAGGCTGGTTGTGCATCACACCCTCCCTGGAGACCCCAAGACAAGTAACACAGGTGCATTTGGTGCTCAAAGAGGTTTTATTTCAATGCCACAGGCATTGCAGGCAAAGGTTTGGTTACAGGGAGGGATGATGCTGCTGGGAAAACACAATCCCACGGGCACAGTCATGCTGGGAACTGCTTCAGTTTCGGGGCTGGCGGCCGTGGCTGTGGCCATGGCCACGGCCGCCATGGTCATGGTCATGGCCATGGTCCCCACCAGGACCCTCATGGGACTTATTGTGGGCATCAATGGCTACAAGGCTCAGTGTGGTCAGGAACTCGGTGAACTTCAGGCGACCGTCGTGGTTGGCATCAGCTTTGGTGAAGAGTTTGTTGATGTAGTCATCGATGGTCATGTTAGGCTACAGCAGGACAAACATGAAGAAGAGTCAGCATGAAGCACAGCAGGGCTCAGGGTCACCCTGCCAACCTGCAGCTGTGGCAGGAGGTTCACCCAGCAAGGACTGACCCTAGAAAAACCTTCAGTCACTTTTGGGAGGCTCCTGGCCACCTCCATGTCCCAAGGAGGACAATACTCCCACAACTCTGGCCAACATCACAGCTGGACCAGGCTCAGCTCTTCCATCCCTTCAAGTGTTCAAGGACTGGTTGGATAAAGTAACCTGTGCTAGTGGAAGGTGTCCCTGCCCGGAAATGGGATTGGATTTGGTTTAAGGTCCCTCCAACCCAAACCAGTCCAGGATTCGGGGCTCTCACCGGTATGGTGTTGTGGAGGAAGTGCTCAGCAGTCTCCTTCATCAGCTGGGAGAACTCTGGCTTGCTCAGGTAGTCATCAAGGGGATCCCTTGCAGAATACTGGTGGTAGGTGTTGATGATAGACTCCATGGCCAGTTCCATCTTGGTTTTCATCTTGCTGGGAAGAGACACATACAGCAAAACATGAAAGGGAACCAGAGGAGGAGAACTTCCCTCTCCTCTGGCTGCCCAGTGGGATCAGGCTCATCCCCAGCGCCATGAAGCCACTGTTTGTCAAGGATCTCCTTACCTTGGAGGAGTTCTGGGCTGGCTCTGCAGACAATGCACGGGAGGAGAGGATCAGGCAGGAGCAGTGATGCTGTGGTGAAGGTGATGCCTCTTTTATACTCTCCCTGAGCTACGATTTGTGACACCCTCAAGTTTCCTTCAGGCCAATAACCCCAGGAGTTGTGCAAGGCTGTGCAGCACGCCCAGGTGGTGGTGATTTCTTGCCTGGCTCCAGGAACTGGCTGCTCTCCCTCTTAACGAGGGAGGGGACACACCAAACTCGTTAGGGCAAAACAAAGAAACACCAAAAATGACATTTTTAGGGAGGCAGCACTGGAGGTTGAAACCTTCCAGGGGCTGGGACACACCTGAAGAGTTTGGGGGTCTTTGCAGAGATGATGGAAGAGGATTTTTTCTGGAGATCTGAGGGTCTCCAGCAAGATGACACTGGTTTTACCCAATGGGGGATGTGGTTCACCACTGATGTGTTTGCCCTGACACTGCTGATTTTGGCAGGAGGTTCAGGGGATGCTGCTGGGGATGGCCAGAGCATCCCATCCCCCCCCAAACACCTCTCCAAACTCATGAGAGCATTCCCCCTGAATCACTCCTTCCCAGGCAGCCTGGGAGTCAGTCCTGGATGCAAATCCAGGCATGCCAGTGTGTCAGAATCCTGCCAGCTGGTCTTAGGAGGTGGCACTTCCCAGCAGCTCTAATTGCTGATGATAATAACCAAGGGCATTGACAAATGTTCCTGACTCCTAGTCATTCCCCCCCAGTGTTGGGGGGGACACTGCCACATGTGGGAGACCCCCCTGATGTCCCCAGTGCTTGGCATGGGTTGCTAAACCCTGTGTGTCATGAGGGGGATGGAGAGGACTTTTCACACCGAGTCCACCCCGTGCTGGTCATTAAGGGAAGGACAGCAGTGGTGAAACATCTCCCTGTCAGCCTCCTAATCCTGCAGCACAAGGAACTAGTGCCAGAAAAATCCTAAATTGCAAAAGAGGGAAACAAAGGGACAGGTTGTCCAAAGGATTCGGGTGCGTCCGGGAAGGAAGGGGACACAGGAGGGACACGGCTGCACCGTCAGCGACGCGTGAAGGGACACGTGTGGGGAGGTGTGAAGGCACAGCTGAGCCGTGGGAGGAGACACACATGCGCCGTGGGACAAGCAAGGAGGGACAGGTACTCCCCGTGGGTCCTCCTGCTGCTATTTGCTGCCCAAATTCCCCAGAAACCATGTGCCCAGACATTGGGATCTCCTGCCCCGGGCACAGCTGCTGCCCACGCTCCGGAGCAAGAGGTGCCGGAGGCGTTGGGAGCTGCTCCGTGTCCGGGTGCAGCCGCAGGGATGGGAGTGCTGGTGGCACAGGGGTGCAGCAGGTGCAGCCCCCAGGGCACGTGGCAGGGTGGGGACAGGGTGGGGAGGGATGCAGACAGGCTGGATGCCTCTGCACAGCACCGTGGTAGCTTAAATATTCCCAGGTCAGGCGTGAAAAGGTCAAGGACTTGTCGGGGTGTCACCTGCTTTGGGGTGCAAGTGCAGTGCAGTTGTGTTTCACAGAGCCTGGGGAGATGGATCCTTTCTTTTCCCTAATATTAGAATCCCAGATTCATCAAGGTTGGAAAAGACCTCCAAGGTCATCATGTTCAACCTGTGATGATCTCCCACCTTGGCAACTAGACCAGAACACTAAGTGCCATGACCAGTGGTTCCTTGAACACCTCCAGGGATGATGACTCCACCATCTCCCTGTTCAGCCCTTTCCAATGCCTGACAACCCTTTCCATGAAGGAATTCCTCCTGATGTCCAATCTGGGTGCAGCTCCTCTCTGAGTCCCTCCCACCACCCCCAGCAAGAAAACCACCAGCACTGGTCATGAGGTTTTCATTTACTTAAGGTTCAAAAAAATAGCCTCAGGCTCAGCAGCGAAACTTTACCATAACAACTTGCAAAACACTTGACAAAATGACCCAAAAGGCTCCTGGGGACCCTCACTCTTTTGTGGTGGCTCCACGCTCAGCCCTAGGGGGGGGTGTCCAGGGAGGGCAAAACCAAGGCTGGACAAAGCAAAACCTTTGTGAGTGCCACTGGGAGCAGCCCTGGGCTGCAGCTTTGGCTCGCAGCAGAGAGGAGGAGGGGACATCCAAATCTGGAGGGGACAGGCTGCACATCTGGAGCCTGGCACGAACGCCCAGGTTGGCTGAAGCTTTTCAGAGAGGGGAAAAGGGATCGGAGGGAGGAAAAGAGACGGAACCGGGAGCGGGACGGGAGAGCTGCGGCTGCTGCTCGCGGTCAGAGCGTGGGCTGAGTCCTCCCTTGCGGTGGCCCAGGACGGGGTGCACAGGGAAGTGCCACAGCCCCCCCCCGAGCAGTAATGCGGCCGAAACCCTGCCCAGAACCAGGGCTAGGGGAGGAAAAGTGTCCTGGGGGGCATCGCACGCAGCAAGTCCTGCCCCACGGGGCAGCAGGTAGGGGGAGAAAGATGCTGACCCAGTGGGAGCTTCATAACTCTGGCTAAAAAAAAAAAACCCAAAAAACATAGTTGTCGTCCCGTTGCTGCACCGGTTGGAGCCGTTAATCCCTGGGAAAGTTCCTGCCGCGCCTTGCTGGGCTGCGAGCGGCTCCGGCGGCTGCAGGGCAGGGAGCTCTCGCCGCTGACTCACGATCAGCCCCGCGGGAGGTTTACGAGGGCTCAGGGAACGAAGTGTCCACGCTGAGACAGAGCAAATTCCAGCCTGGCAGTGCCCCTTGCTCCACTCCTCATCCTCCACCTGCAGAAGGCAACGGGGTCTTGCCCGGAGTGGCAACACCCCCGTCCCAGGGCCAGAGATCCCCAGCAAAGCAGAGGACTTGGTTTCAAATTTATTGAAATAAACTGTTTATTGAAATAGCATCAGGACAGAGGGAGGGTGGTGGGGGCAGTGGCAGAGCCCAGGGACAGCGCCCTGTGCTCACTTCCTACGTGGCATCTTGTCGGGGTAGTCCTGGAAGAAGTCGTTGCACATCATGGCCATGCAGGCCAGGAAGGTCACATACTCCTGGAAATCCACCTCGCTGTCGCTGTTGCTGTCCAGGTTGCTCATCAGCTGCTGTAAGCTGGCATCACTGGTTTGTTTCTGAGGAAGAAGAAAGGGGTTAAAATCAGGGTTTGTACCCAGGGCCACGTCCCCAAGCCTTGGCATCACCCCTGGGATGTGTCACCCGCTGCTCTGCACTTACACTGAAGCTGGGCAGCTCCTTCATGAGCATCTCCTTGAGCTCTGTCTTGCTGAGCTTGTACTTGTCCCCTTCATTGCCCGAGTACTTGTGGAAGGTGGCGACGATCACGGCCAGTGCCTGCTCCAGGGGATGAGCCATGGGGGATGCAGCAAACCTGGAGACACAAACTGCTGAGAGCAGAGTTCAGCATCCCCAGGTCCCCCCGAGGGGGGGACAACAGCCTCTCCCACCCCCCAGACCGGACAGGCTGCTCCAGTGCCTCCCTCCTGGGCACACACTGGGATGCATCACCATTCTCTCCTTCATTTCCCCCTCCCGTTAGGAGCCAGGCTGGAAATCCCCAAACCAGCTCTGTCAGGGGGGAGAACAGGGTGGGCAGCACCTCCCTCCAGCCCAGGCAGGGCAGGGAAAGGGCTCAGGTGCATTTCCAGCTCTCAGAGGTGAAATCCAACCTTGGAGCTTGGCTCCTGCAGCAGGAACCTCCTGCTCAGCCCCATGGGGAAACCTCTGTAAGGAAACCCCTCTGTGGGATGGGGATGGACAACATCTGGAGAGCATCTGGCAGGGGGGGAACGGAGCATGGCAGGAAAAAAACAACTCACCGAGAGCTCAAACGGAACAGCCAAGGACGGGCAGGCAGGGAGCAGAGCCCGAGTCAGGCCACGGCATTTATAGCCCCGCCCGGGACACCTCCCTCGGCACCGGGTGGGAAGGCACCAATGATCCAGTGCCTGCCCGGAGAGAGGCTGGAAAAGGAGGAGAGGAGGAAACCTCAGCGCCGGCCCTGACCCCCCCCAAGACCGCCCTGCTCCTGCTCTGCCAAGGGGCTGGGTTGGGTTAGAAAGAACAAAAAGGTGTCCCC